TTGGCCAAGATCCCAGCCCACTCGCCCTGCTTGCCTATATGCCAGTGTTGCGTGTGGGCGGCCTCCCTTCAGCCTGCGTCTGGGGCCCGCTGAACCCAGGCCCGATACAGTTGAGGCCCGGGGGATGCAGTTGCCCCTCTTTCGTCAAGGCCTGCGGCCAGATTCAGATAGTGGGCCGATTTCCCTTTGGCATTTTCGGCCTCTATACCCAGCATGCATTGTCGGCCTCACGTTCCAGTACCCAGGGCCTAACTAACTCAGAGGCCTTGGGTTTTCAGCATTTGCTGAAATCCGAGGCTCGGTGCACTCCAACCAACTGGCGTGCTGCAACTGTATGGACCCCACTTCGTGAAATGTTGGCACAGAGGGCTCTTGTTGATTTTGCTGGCCCGCCTTTACTTAGGGCGGGCACGAGTCTTGCTGGGGCCTTAGCCCAAAACATGTACATCATGGCAAGGCCCTTGAGGGCTCAATCCTCACATTCCATTCCCCTTAGCTTCGAAAGTCCGCTGAGATGCTTACTTCGCAGGTGCCTTCCCCTTGAACTGTCTTTGATATTCAGCCACCTGAGGTGCTGTCTGTAGCAGCTCCTCTTGAGTGTATCAACGATCTTCTTTAGGATCAATATGATGCCTGAATCTGACCCAGTATAGTCATCTGGGTTTTGGATGTCTCCCTCGGCCCATATGTCTTGGAACAGGCATGTCTCTATGCTCCAGATTGCCGTCGACGTCCACATGGCCATCCATGGTTGGGGGTAGCATCGATCTCCTTGAAGGTAATTGAACAGTCTCAGCAAAAAGTGTAAGCTTTGAGGTATGAAGGAAAGGGTAAGTGCGCAGGTGATCAGGGGTACTGATAGCGTGGGACAGTTCATCCAAATCATTCCCCACTACATCCAAGACTTCCATAGATGGATCAACTAACGTTTTATTCCCTGCCTTAACCAGAAAGCATAATCCATCAGGAGATGGTCTTTCCGGTAGGCTTCCACCATCGATTGAGTTAGCTCGTGAGATATGCCAAATTCAGAATCTAGTGCCCTACATGACAGCGCATCAGCAACTTGTTATCCTCCCCCTTCAATTGTTTGAGGGCATTGGAGAGAACAGGTTGAGTCTTTAGTCCACTTTAGAATCTGATGATCAGTCCTTGAGTAGAAGAATCTACCCAACAGTTAGTGTTTTTAGTGGATTAGAACCTCGTATAGGGCATAGAGTTCCCTCTCTTAAGTGGACTTAGCCAACTTCTTAGATGACATCCTTTTGCTCATACTCAATCGGCCTCAACTTCTTCCCTGCCTGCTGGGCCAGCACTTACGCCAATCCCATAATGGTTAGCGTCAGTGGTTACTATAAATGGCCTCTGAGAATCGGGAATCATGAGATACTCGTGATTCATGAGTGCGTGCTTCAATCATTTGAAGGCAGCGTCACACTCATCACTCCAGGCCCATGAGGTGTCAAGTCGAGTATGATCTATCAAAGGAGAGACGACTGTAGAATAGTTCTTTACGAAACTCCTATAGCAGCCGCTCATTCCTAAGTAAGATCTAACCTCAATCACCCTCTGAGGATGTGACCAGTCCCTAATACTAGCCACTTAGAGGCTCTGCGTTCTTCGCTGTGATGGCTTTGAGGCCTCTATAATCAAAGCACATCCTCGAACTTCCTCCCTTCTTCGTTACAGAGTACACCAGGGATCCGAAAGGAGAAATACTTAAGCCGTTTACATCCCTTTTCTGTCAGCTCCTTCAGTTGCCGATAGAGTTCATCCCACTCGGCCTAGGCCATCCTATAAATTTTTCCCTTTTGGGGGTTTTACTCACTGGAATTATTTCTAGGGTGTGGTCTATCTCCCTTTTAACGACTCCTGTGGGCTTCTTGAACAGATCAAGGAACTTAGCGACGATGTAAAATGAGTACATACCCCCCTCTTGGTTTTATAGTATTATA